GTGAGTAGCCAAGCATGCTGAACCCAACATTGGCCAGTAATGTACTGTCATGAAAGATGAAAGTGCATCTGGTAGTTTCTTGGTTACAATTTACAGATATGTTCAACATTGTTGATTTAAGTTCTTTGAATGTTTGCATGGCGATAAAATATAATTGTTATTGTTATTGTTTTTGTTATTGTTATTGTTTTTGTTATTGTTTTTGTTTTTTTTTATTGTTGATTTAATAAATCATGACCAACTTAAGTTTTGGAATTCAAGGCAGCACTAAGACTGTTGACCAAGGCCCCTTCGTTTACACTGGATAAGGTGCAATCAGTTTTGCAATCTTACTCGTATCAGAGAGTGGTTTAGATTCGTTCAAATTCGTTGCAAAGTTGGGGGAGAGTGGAAAGTTGTCAGCATGCAGATGGTATTACGTATCTTGAAAATATCTATAAAACTCCATGGGACTATGTCATTGAATTCTGAAATCAATATTTGACACAATCTAAGTTCCTCCACAATGCAGGAATAGAGATCCAAGATTCCATATAAATATAATCCATGTCACTCAAATATTTTCATTTTTTCTTATTCAAATCCATGTTTTGCCGACTGGGATTCAATATTTTGCCGACTACTTGCTGACTGGGGTTGTTCCAACCCCGCCCCACACCCACACCCCTTTTGCCGCCCCTGGTTGTATGGTTGTATCCCTATCAATGCCCAGCTTGTTTAACAGGAAAGGATTTGCCACAAGTCGCCTTCTCTAATTAATTTCACTTCTTTACCACTCGCGAGCGACGAAACGAAAGTCTAGGCATCCACGGCACCGGCACAAGCCAATTTTAAAACTATTTTAGGCAATGGGACAGCTTTTTGAACTTTGTAAAATGAGAAAACAGGGCGCTAAATAAGCCCCTTCTGTCTTAGACTGCAATCGTCCGCCCATTAATTTAACGGTGCTTTGCTCAATTAACTGCGCAACTCGTAATGTGCTTCACATAATTTGCGTCCCACAATATTTGCAGTCAGAGATTTGCGGTTTAATTCTCCTCTCCCCAATTTCCTATGAACACGGCCGTGTACCAAACGCCAAATTTCCATAGCAACAAGAGACAAGATGGCGGTTCGAAAACACACAAAACGTGGAAATAATTTGTGTTTTTTGTACAGTAATAAATATCAATTCTCACAACAGATGCTCTTGTTATAAAGGCAGATATATAGAGTATTCGAGAGTGCTTTCAACATGGACGACGTACGAATTGAGTGGATACGAAACGAAGTTTACTTGGCTTTGGAAATCGCTGACACAGACGTGTTTGAGGATTTGTTGAACAGAGATGATGGTGTGAATGAAAGCTTGATACAGAAATATTTAAACGAGACTCCTGCAGAAGGAACGGCGTTGATTTTACATTCGCAAATCGTCGAGGAAGAAGAGGAGATTGAAATTGAAATAGGTTGAAAAAGATTAAATGTTTAAAAAATTTCATTTTCCCATGGCAAAAACATCACAGCACAATAGTTTTGACCCACCTATGCACAGATTGAAAATTCTAACCTTAACCCCTACCACTTGTGGAACAGGTCCACAAAGTGGGACAAAATCAATATTTTGTTGATGGCCTAAGGTCTAGGAATCTGAGTCATACCCATGTTCAAAGTACCACACAAAATGTCAATTTGATATTGGGTATGATGTCAAATTGATGTTTTGCTGTTAAACGTCAATTTGATATAGCCTATGTTAAATTGATATTTTGCTGAAAAACATCAATTTGACATAGCCTGTGTCAAATTGATGTTTTGCTGTTAACGTATTGTTTGACAGAGTAAAATAATAAACCGCTAGGGCACATTACGGCACAATGCAACGGTTTTAATGGATAATTACACTACACTTTCAATGTTTCAGAGCCTGAAATTCCAGTAATTCCTGATGGAGATGAACTGCTAGAGGGTGAAGGTAGTTCCATCAATGAACTTGGTGAACCTCTGATGAATGGTACCATGCAGCCAGATGAAATACTGGTCAATGGTGACTTGAATGGTGGTGGTGAGGTGAATCCTGAAACAGGTGAAGCCATACAGGAGGAAAAACCAGCAGATGAAAATGAGGAGGATGCTGGGAAATTTAAATTTACACCAGTGACAGTAAGTTCTGGCAATTACCCATCATTTCTATCATCATCATCATTTAAATCTGCATTAATTACTGTGAAGTGTAATAATCAATAATAAAAATTGTACAATTTCTCGCATTATGAGAACAGATGTATAGTTATCTGGTAGTTCTAAGTTACAATATAATTCCAGTAATGGTACTGTATGACCACCATTGCTATCATAATTTCCACGACCACCATCACTTCCGTTATTATCATCACAAACATCACTGTCATCACT